GCACACTTTATATAATTAAAAAGGGCTTCTATTTTAATTTTACTATAAAATGATCTGTATTGAAACTCCAGCTACAATGCTTTATGGATTCAGCTAAGTTTAATGATTTTCTTTCCTGACTTGACCAGAGTTTTCACTTAGGCTCACCAGTAAGGAATTTGTGGGAAGGGTGGTATTTTACTTGTAAATTTTCCTATATACATCAGGGGTTTTCTCTTTAAAAGATAAAACAGACTTTTTATATATCTCTCTCCAGCTTTACGACGCTGTTAAAACAGCATTATCATTTGCTTTGTGCTGCAAAATTTATCCTTCCTAAAGGAAAGTACATGTCAAGGCAAACATTTTGGTTTATGTACATTTATACAGCTGTAATTCTCACTCAGGTCGTTCTGTCTTGCTTGAGACTGAACATTTTTAATTAATGGAATTAATTTTCTCATTTAATTGCCTTATTTTCAGTATGCAGTCGAGAGCTAGAGAAAAACGAATGCTGCCACATGAATTGCACTAATCAACAAGGTTGTCACAACTTACCTTTAAAAATAATGTGAATATATTTATTTGGAAGTAAAGGGAGGTTGGGTCTGTATTTTGAGGAAGCTTTTTTCCATCTGCTCAAGCTTCCTTTGTCTTTAGTTTTATAAAATGAGCATAATATGTTAGCAGCTTTGGCTTTTTTTTTTGACAACAGCGTTCACTACATAATTCTTTTTAAAGAAAACCTCAACTGGAATTTTCAGGTAAAAGTTGAAACATGAGACCCAAGGGAATGCCAGGTGAGAGTCTGGATGAACTGGTTAAATAGAGTTTCCCTCTCTGCTGTGTGTATTTCTGTGCAGTTACAGTTGGATTTGCTCAGTTCTCAGTGTTGCTCTTGTGTAGGCAAAGAAACAATCCTGCCTTTAAACAGAAAGTGCTCTCTGGACGTGGCACAGTTAAACTGAATTTGGTTCAGTCCATAAACTCAGCATTGAGTTTTTTTCAGCACATACATGTTTGAGAATGAGGGTAGGTTCTGTTTGCTCTCGGTTTGGAGCAGCCTCCTAGGGCTGAGCCATAAATGGTTTTCGTTTCTGCTTAATGGGAATTTTCTCATCAAGCAACTAAACGACTCTTCGGGCATAAAAGGGATGTGAGTGTGGTTTTATTGGGGACTCTTCACTGGTCTCTGTTGTGATCAGATTTGGTGCTATAATGCATGTGATGTGTTTTTAAGCTCAGAGGACTTGCAAACTAAAGTATAGCATAACCTAGAGGGTAAAAAGAAGATTTTTATTTTTTTGAATGTGCCCTGTCAAAACAATTAAAAGCAATAACAGTGAAAAATGGCTCAAGTGGAAGTTTTATCTTTCCCTTACTCCTTGCCATCATAAATTGCACACCCTGCCACGGGGGCTGTGTCTTACTAAGGGATTTGAAGGAGGAACAGGCTGGTTCCAAAGGAGTTTTCCACACACTCATCACTACTCAGAGTATTTTTGTTCACACACAATCCCAGTTCAGCCTTGCAAATCCAAACTGCCCTGCATAGAGCTTCCTTTTCCCAGGGAATGATTTAGCTGAGGAAGCACGAAGTTCTTTTCAAGTAAGCACTAAGTAAAGCACAAAGTAAGTGTGAGGGAATTACTTCTAAAGGCAGAAATGAAAATGTGTTTCTCACCCATAAAGAGCTTCATTCCCTCACCCCAGAGCCCGTGCTGGCAGCAGTGGGAGCTGCAGTGCTTGCTGCTATCACACCGTTGCCTTGTGATTATTTACAACTTCCAGCCCTCTCCAGACTTGTATTCCTGTTTGGGCTATGAGAAGATTCTATTTAAACTCTATTTGATCAATATCCTGAGGTTAAAGGTGATACAAGAGAAAAATAGGTTTGATTTTGGTTTTCTTTATTCCTTCAGAAAAATTAGCTGCTGCTTATGTTATAAATGTGTCATGTTAGAAATATGTGTGCAGTTAAATGTGTGTGAAGTTGTTGTGTTTATATACGTTGTGTGACATATAGAGTCCAAACGTTGTGTTTGGATTTTTTTGGTAAAGCATAATGTTAAGCAGAAAGGTTAATGCCAACCCTGATAGCAGAAACACAGACTTTTACATACCCAGATGACCCATGATGTGCTTAAATTGCAGGACAAGCCTTTTTTGCTGGCAGGGAGAAGTGGTTGGATGTAAATTTAGGGGAGATGCAAAGAAGGGAGAAGGAAAAGAGGTTTACTCCGAGGGACTGTGTTTAAACACGTCGGGGAGAAGGAAAAGAGATTCACTCCGAGGGACTGTGTTTAAACACGTCCCAAACTGGAATACTAAAAAGAAAATTTGAAAAAGTTAATACTTAGAGCACTCTTGTCTGAGATAATGGTTAATGGATTGGCAAAACTGCATAAAGATCAGGTTAGAAAACCCCTGAGCTTGAGGCTGATCAGCACAG